CACACAGGGATGCCAGCTATCCCTTTAAGGAAGACGAGCAGTAGATATATCACAAGATCATTATAGAAATAGCATTTCCTTCCATTACATACCTTTGTTGGGTTTGTCAATACAAATCTTTCATACTTTCAATTCAATTCTCCAACAATTTCCAAATTTGTATTCATTGATGTACAACACATCACGGTGGAAAACCCATGATTCAACATCAATTTACCTGATGTTTTTAAACACAAATTTTCCTAACCTTGCTGTTCACCACTTAATTTAATTCAGTATGCAAGTTTATAGCAAGTTACACATCTTTGAATGGAATATTTATTTGAATCTTGGGTTTTAAACCATCATTAAAGTTAATGAGCCAAAACATTTTCCCATTAAAATCTTCAATATTAACTTTCAAATGTTATATAAATATTACAAGCAGGAAAAGGTTTGATTTTGCGAGAAGATGTCAGTGGATAATTATCAATAGTTTACTGGGACAAAGTCAGGAAAATTTGATTTTTTTTTCAAACACACAAGTAAATCAAAATAAAATTCAACATGAAAATGAGAAAAGCTAATGACAAAACACTTTGTGATCATAATTTCAATACATATAGTGAAAATGTTAAGCTTACTTTCATTTGAAAACAGGGTAAAAAATACAAAAAACCAAAAAAAACCAAAACAAAAAAAAAAGAAAGAAAAAGAAGTTTGAAAGATTTAAAAAGTTGATTACTGTGATAGTATGATTTCTATTAGTCATAATGCTGATTTTTTTTTTTTTTTTTCCATATCAAAATATATTATTTCAAAACATAATTGCTAGTCCATTGATGTCCAAATAATACCAGAAGAACCATTTTACAATTTCAAAGCTAATCAAATTTCCACTAGAAAATAAAGAAATTGATTACATCAAGAAATGTCTCTCGTGCCTAAGCAAAACGAAAATTTACCGATGTTCCTCAAATGAAAAATCAATGAGATGAACACCTCAGCTAGGTTACAATATACAAGTACAAGTCAACATGTCTTCTTGTGTAATCTATAGCACAACAGTAGCTATAGCACGTCTCAAGGGTTAGACAATGTATGTCAGCATGTAAGGTATGGATTCATAATTACACTCCACCCTACAAACTGCGTACTGCTATTTAGTTTGGAACCCCTAGAAAGACATAACGCACAATTCAACAGCCATTTGAGGATGAAACAAAATCTACAAAAATCAATAACATTTGTTATATATATGAACATACTGTGTCACCTCTATATACTTATACAGCTGATTCTCACCGGAGCATTATTTGATTTTAATCACAAGCTGTGAAATACGAAAGTTACGATATGGAAATAATACAAAGACGACTGCTGAGAGCTGTCATTTTCTATACTTACAGTCAAGTAAAACTGCGGTGTACCATTTACTGAAGACCTACTTCATGTAGCCATTATCAATGACAAAACCATGTGCATATATCTAAAGGAATATCTATGCCAGCCCATGATACATAGCTAATGCTATGCTGATTAAATCTACAGGCTATAGATGTGGTTTATCAAGTACCTGCAATCTTATTCAATATATCATGATCCAATAGTGATTAAAATCAAATCACATTCTTGTATTCTTTATGGTGTTTCAAAGTCCTACTTCTGCGAGTTTAATATCTAAAATCACATTATTTTTTTAAAACTGTAGATATTTGTTTTATTTTGGTTTCTCCTTCAATCAAAATTAGGTTGGACTACAATCTATAATTTCCTTCTTGTAAAATAATCCTTGCGTCAACAGCCTAACTTAGAAAGTCAACAAACAATCAGATGACTAAATGGTGGTAAGCTATAGCTCGACCAGTGACCAGCATTGGTCAGTGGGACTGACCAGGACTGACCAGGATCGGTATGTGTACCCTACAGGGGAATTTAGCTGTGCTAGAGGTCAACAACAGATTGACCAGTGTTTCCTGACCTTACACACTCATATGCCAAGCATGTGTGTCTATGTTCTACACTAGTTTAGATCCTTCATGTATCTTTGTATCTAACAATATTATCAATACCAGTACACAGTGGTATGTACAAATTGTTTGTTTCTATCACTTCCTAAGATAAACACCTCTATTAATTTTGAGACTTCCCACACAACCAATTTATCTATAGTTTAGATTCTTCTGATCTGCATTCACACTAATGTTTTGATAAGATTTTTGAAAATGGCCTTTCTAAAGACTCTATGTTCAGAAATTCTAGTTAGTATATCACTGCATTTTAACATTACGTACAATGACTAATTTCTTAACATAACTATGTATTTATCAAGTTAACATTTTTTCCTCTGCTTCATGAATACAACTTTGTTAAAAATTATTTGCAATCCCATTTTTTTTAGCTATTCAAACATTAAAAAATAAAACAGAATACTTGATTTGAAACACATTTGATACTAACATAGTGATGATGAGAGGATTTAGGGCCTGAGTTAACCTTTGAATGCCTTATAACAACTGTTTGGTAAAATATGGCCTAGTGTTCTGTGGTCCTTGTAAAGGCTGGTGCTGATGTAGCTGACTCCACACATAGACATGGCTGTACATGCTTGTAGGTATATCCTGTTATTGATTTTTACACACAGTTCCTGCACATCTTATTACAGCTGACCTCAGTGTTCAATCGAATGAGCTTCCCAGGCAGTTCTAGTTGATTTTAAACAAAATTTTGGATATCGAACGTTTTCCGGAAATTTTTGCGTTACTTCTACATTGTATTTTTCAATTAATTCTGAGCATTTTCACTTTTTTGAGACCCATATAAAACAGGATGAGCCAAACAATTTTATCAATGGTAACCAAGAAAAAGCAATGTTCACATGATATTCTATAAACCAAAGTATTTACCTCTAAAGTTGTCTTGTTTTTAAGTACTGTTATAAGGATTTTACCTGATAATTTCAATTAAAATTTGAAATAATGCATAGACACTAATTCAACTACATATATCATATCTTTAGCGGTTAGTATACTGCAGTATTTGAGACATCTCTTATACTATCATGGTAATAAATTTTTATATATCACAACATAAAGATCAAACTGGCTATTTCATAAAAAAAGCAAAAGCTTAAATAAATGACTTGCAAAAGACAATTTAGTGATTAAAACTTTTAAAAGTATGTAAGTAACATGATTAAAATGTCCATTTTTTTCCTAATTAAAATAATATGTACATTAATCCAAATAAAACAGCTGATCAACTAAGACAGCAATGATTTTGGGAGCGTGTGCAGTAAATAATACTAATAAAATTATCATCGTGGGAGAGAGCATGTTATACATTCTGTACCATCCACACAGTTAGTACAAGATAAATGTATGTATAGATGGTTTGTATGTAGGGCATGAATGTTGTTTACTGTAGAAATATAAAGCACTGACCATAAACACAGCTCAAGTCATCTGACCTAGCTGCTAAGCCCTGAAACCATTGGTCAAGCATTATGTAACAGCTAGCTGCCCACTATACACTGTCATACAAATGGCCAGTGGCTTGGTACACACATACACAGGGCCCATTGTGTAGAGGGTATACCAGATCTACTGATTATCAGTATTGGAGATTTCTACCACATGGCAGCATGAGTGAGGCACCCAACGGGGACACTTTCATCATTATCAATTACCCTTCCATTTCATAACTTTAAAATATCAATAAGCATTTATACAAAATAAAACCAACAGTAATGAAAAAAAAAATTTCCAGAAACATGTCTAACTGTGCTGAACTTTTCTAAAACAATTCAAATAAACATTAGCTATTTATGCTTGTGCAATGTGAAAGTCTAACTACAAAGTAACTTCATCAAAAACTTTTTAAATTGTGACAAAAATGAAAAATAATATTAATTTACTAATATGCTAAATTATAATTTTACAACAATGCAAGTAGATCTTGTTTTTTGGCTTAGCTATAGTTTCTTTTTCTCAAATTATATATTTTTTAAAAGTTGAAATATAACTTAATTGTTGACATTTTAACACACATTAATGATGTATGGGAAATGAGAAAGTTTCATATTGAATTTTAATACTAATTATATATATATATAAATGTTATATATATATAAATATATGCCAATTTTTAGCTCTATTGAATGAAAAAAATCGCTACTCTGAAATGCACATGTCTAACATTCATAAGGCCTTTCGGTTCTATCACGGAGTTCATAACTCCCAACAAACACCAATGGCAAATTGTGTCAGAGGTCTACTTGCCATACAAACTGTCATAGATTGAAATTAATACAGTTAAAAAATTGTGTAAACAACATATAAAATATCCCTCCTACTCTTGAAATTTGCGTGGCAAGTGCTGAATAATATTCACCCAAGATCATGATAGAGCTTACTATCTATATCTATCTTTTTTAAACAAATTTATTGCCACAAAATATGGAATTTTTCATGATTAGAAAACGGAGCATGACAACAAAATTCAAAACCAATGAGGTAGTAGTCAGAAAAATGTAATAAGGGGAGGTAATTTGTTATAATTTTTCTCTCTCCAAAATATTCCACAATAAAAAAATTGAGAGTTCTCTGGCATAGAGAGTGTTTTCAAGACATTCAATTCAATGCTAGGCATTAATAAGTCAGTTGAAGCAAAAAATAAGAGAACGAGAAAATGTGTAAAATATAAAACAGTTCCTGGAAAACTGAATGTAAAACTGAAAATATTATTTTTTCTTCTGAATAATCCAATAAATAATCTCCAGTTTCTGTTATCAATAAACTATACAAAACACATAGAATCATTGGCATGTGTCAAGAGTACTAGTAATACTACTATCTACTAACTTTATCCCTGAGCTTAATGTTTGCCTTTGGCAGTACAAAACCTGAGTTAGCAAATAATGAAACGGTACACCTGAGCAGCAATGCAAAAAGCATACCCTTATAGAGTAAAAGCTAGCTCCACGACACAGTACAATGTACCACTTTAGTTTTTAGTATTTCTTAAAATACCTGTAAGCGATTGTTTCCAAAGTCCACCACAATAATATAACCTTCAGGAGAGACGCACAAACCAGAGGGACGATCAAGTTGTCCTGGGCCTGCTCCAGGTGTTCCGAATTTACATAGGAAATTGCCATTTGGTTGAAACACCTGAATACGATGATTCCTAGAATCAGCTACAATGATATTTCCCTCTTGGTCTACTACCACACCTTGTGGTCGCAGAAATTGACCATTGGCACTGCCCTCAGTTCCTAAAAACCGAGCTGTTTGGAAGTCTGGGTGGATTACCAAAAGTCGGTGATTGTTGAAATCGGTGACCACCATGTGACCCTCATTGTTGAAACACACACCACGTGGTGAATCAAAATGTTTCCAAAGAGATCCTTCAAACCCGTATTTGTTCACAAACTGTCCATCTGGTGAAAAAAGTTGAACTCTATGGTTCCTGGTGTCTGACACCAGAATCTTGCCATCGTTGTTGACAGCTACATCCCAAGGGTAATTAAACTGGCCATTCTTATTTCCCTTTTCACCAAACTTCAGCAGAAATGTTCCGTCGATTGTGAAAATCTGCACTCTATGGTTGTCTTTGTCTGCCACGATTATCCGCCCTTGATTATCACATGCGACTCCTGCTGGGCGATCAAACTGTCCATTTCGTGTTCCAGAGGTTCCGAACCTGTGACAAAATGTGCCATCAGAGTTAAAGACTTGGATACGGTTGTTGCTTCGATCTGCAATAACAACATTTCCGTCACGGTCACAACAAACGCCCCAAGGTCGACACAGCTTTCCTTCTACCTCTCCCTCTCCTCCAAATTCGAACAACATTGGTCCAATTGTTGCGTAGTTCCGCCCACTACGTATATTGACAGTGAATGGGCTCTCTGCTATGTGTTTGCCATGTATTGTCACTGATATGATATGCTGTCCCTCTAATTGTGGACGATATGTGACTGCATATGTGCCATTTTGTCTATCTATGACTTCTGCCCGGTAGAAAGCACCATCAGAGCTATGAATGATACATTCCACTGGATCCCCGCCAATCACACGAGGCTCTCCATGATGATCTTTTGTGTGAATCATAAAAAGTGACATCTTCCCTTTTAAAGCCTTCTTAAGCCCGTCACCTGTAGCGATGCAATTTGGTGCATATGCACTACTACTAATGATTCCCATCTTGCCGATAGCATTGTATAGGGCCAAATCTGGAGGTGTAAACATGATACAGTCATCCTCATGTGGCTGCAAATGCCCACGCAATTTTCGAACATTCTGCATTTCTGCTACCATTTGGTCTTTGGTTTTGAGTATATCAATCTGCGTACCCGTATTTAGAAGTTTTTCAACTTCACTGACTGTTTGCATAAGTGAAGAAAGTCCCTGTTTAAGATCATCAACCTGTATATGTAGTGATTTTCCTTTGACCTGACGAATTTTTTCCACACGCCTCAATAAATCACGTTCCCTCTCCTCCAGCGCTGCCATATGTCTGCGAATGATAGTTCTCACTTCTGTTGTAACTGCCTGAGTTCTAACTTCCACACGCTCGGCCATTCCCTGAGTGAGCTCAATACTTTCTTCAAGAGCTTTGATCCCTGCTTTGGCATCTGCGAGAAGTTTCAATGTTATAGTTTTGGAATTATCAATTGCATCTTGAAGGTATATGAAGTTATGTCCAACATGCTCATTCATGGTACAATCTCCGCATATTGCCCTAGAACAGGTATCACAGTATAATCGCAATATTCCATGTTCGTGTCGAGAACAGTAACTGTCCTGTCGATCTGGGAGAGCTACCGCTTGTTGCTTTTGTTGCTGGTATTCCTGTTGCTTGTGTTGCTGGTATTCCTGCTGTTTTTGTTGCTGGTACTCCTGTTGCTGCTGTTGTTGTTGCATTGATGGTGAACTTAGTCGAGGTTGACATGTTGTACCTAGATGTAAAATGCTGCTTGATTGTAGATTTAACATCGAAAAGCGTTCAATGAAGTGATCTTTAGTGAGCCTAACTCTCTGATGTGCCCGTACACAGTTATCACACAGGTACTCGCTACAGTTCTTACAAACACACGTTGCTTTGCTTCCCTCGTCACACGAGTTACACCATTTCGCACCTGTTATGGGCCGCTGTCGTTCCAAATCTAGAGATGAGTCTTCTATATCATGTTGTGTTGAAACCATTACGTCAAATATGTTTGACACGATTAAGTTGGAAGGCAAGCTGTCGATCCCCCCTGAATTTAAAGGGGCGACCTGGTGACAAGTTGGACATTCTAGGGGTCCCGAAAACTCCTGTCCTGGCAGAGACGGGGAGGGACCCTGGTCCCGTGTAGCCTGCTCAAGGCATCGCTTGCAAAAGGAATGAAGACATGGCAGTATTCGAGGGTCGTCAAATCGGTTGTGGCAGAGAGGGCAACCCAACTGCTCCCCAATCGAGTCGGCATATGCGGCCATCGGCGAGGTAGAGCATGAGGTAGATTGGTTAAATCGAACGTAAAAAGTTGATCCTTACATTGCGTGTCTCTAGCGTACGTAACCGAGAGTATCAGAGCACCATTCGAAAGGGATCGAGGTTGGTAACCTGCCAACCACGGAGTTCTCCGGCTAAGAGTAGGTCATAGTCAGCTTCTGATGTTTTTGCACAGTTTAGGGAGGTCAGTGTGAATGAAAGTCATATAAAATGTTATAAACTTACGTATCAATCACGACTTGGGTGTGTAATTCGAAGCATAAACGCACCTCATCTCAAAACGAGCAATGTTGTCCTCGTTTCCTCTGTACGGCGCCATCTTCCAATATCATAAGTGGGCGTTCCTAACCTACTTTGCCACGCTGTCATTCATTTCCATTGACCAATCAAAACACACGACACACCTGTTATCATTTTCATTCATGTGGTCACTTCCGAAATTACATAATGACCCGCACAGTCAGCTCTATTCATTTATTACAAAGAACACTGCTTTGATGGATTTACATAGTTTTATATATAATTTTCATGATAACTTTCAATCTACTTTTCGTTCATGTAATGTATCAATGCCATGCCTAGTAATGCAGTATTTTCTGTTCATTGCGAATTAGGGGCGGGGTGGGGGTCTATCTGGCATGTGTTATGTAATAGGTATGCTGTCCATTACTGGACTCGTGTACATGGTTCAGGGCTAGCAAAGTTCTGCGTGAGTAACTACGTTAGATGGACATAGCCAAGGGCACTCCATATATGTAGATCTACAGCGTGTGAACATTCATAAAGCCAACAGTTTTTGGGTCCGAAAACGAGGTCACGACCAGAATAGACATTACAATAAAGATTAACACTTATGTAAGCAGATCTTCGTTACAGATTTTAAAACACACATGTCGCTTTAATATGTTGTTTAAAAACCAGGGACGATATAATACTAAATGATATTACACATACCTGACAAAACATCCACGTGTTTTCAATGTACGCTACAGTCATTAAAAATTAATTGTGAAATTGATTTGATATTCATATACTGTATATTGATTATCATCTCTGTTCAGTTTTAATCATGGATTTAGATAATATCTTAGTCTGTGGTTTCAACACACCAATTAACTATTAATTATAGAATTAAAACGTACATTGGGGTAAAACTAAGTGAATATGGTGAATAATTGCTAAATAAAGAGATCGGAAGATAGAATGTACAATTTCAGAAATATTGTATTTTTTAAACAGGATTTACACTGATATCAGGAATTCCATATCGTAAACATAAATTTAAGTGTGTATCGCCCAATGTAGGTCTACGAAGTGATGATAACATGCAGATCTTGTTTTGAAGATTTCATGAAGACTCCGTGTTTTAATGTCCAAGTGTCTATTGATCTCCCTAAATTCAACAATTACCCTGACATAGTTAATTCACCTTTAGTGATATGTAATCTATAAATATATAAATTTTTATACACTGTACTATAAAAAAATATTTATAAAATTGTGACATAGGTAGAGAAACATGTGAATTACAGATATTTGATTAAAGTCTCTTTTTTAAATATATATATATTATGTTAGAATTTGCATTAAAAATTATGAAATTGTAATATGCATTAATAATTGCGCAAAAAACGAGGCTATCGACGGTTGATGAGTATGTAAATTCCATTGTTTGAAATTGATTGACATTACAACAAACTTTCATCGAGACAATTTGGCAGTCGTCTTGCTGGTAAAAATGTCACCGAATCCCTTACAGTCAGAACGGAAATTATCCTACTTGAGCTTACAAGACCATACCAAGCATTTGGTAGTCTCCTATTACAACAGTTGTCACTGTGTTAATTTATTTATCATCAGTTACGTGTCGGGTAAAACATCTAGGATTCACAAGAAATAGCGTCCTACAAGCAGTGCTTTATTTCTGATTAGTAGAATCAGGGACGTCCCTAGTAGAAAACATCACTCGTATCCGATGTAGACAGAGAAAACAGAAGGGAATTTATATTGTGTATATGCTGACACGGGACTTTTTTCTACGAGTTAATTCCCCTGGCGTAATGAAAAGGGAAGAATGCTGACATAAAACTAATTGGGAAATAATGGTGATTATATTTATTATGTATAACCAGTGTATCTCATTAAAGTCAAACAATAATACGTATAGTAGTTATGGTGATTGTAGCGCGAATGCTTAGTTTGGCGGTTAAATCGATGAAAGTATGGTATGAATATGTGTGATGGTACATCAATTTAAATAAGACTTTAAACTCATAGTTTTAAGAAAGCATTTATTTTGATCGTACATTGGGGGAAATAATAGTACGGCCAAAATATCCTGTTACAGTTTATAAATGTGGTTATATGGCAGAGCAGGTTACAATTTAATTGTTTTTAAAGAGGTGTTTTTTAAATGGGTCTGCTGAATTGAAAGACTGATATTCATCTGTGGCGTAAAATAGAACATGCGATATGTTCAATATCAGCAGAACTGTCAATCAATTTTTGGAATTGCTATCTCATTTGTTAAGCATACGTCAAACTCAGATAAAGTATGAATTCCTACTTGAGCTTCATATAATTCTGTTAGAACATATTACATGGGTGGATATAATTTCAAAACCAAATTTCTTTTAAAGTGCATGATGTCACCGGTATAAGTCTTGCAGGGTGGTTTTCATATTGTGTAAATAATATACATTATTTCTTTTCAACAGGAATGATCGTTCAGATTTTTATGGACTTTGAAAAGCACGCCTGTTGATCAGGTTTATTGCTCAAACAGCAATAAATCACGTGTTGTTCAACCATTTGTTGAGAGACTACTTATATTAAATGCACTGAATGATCGGGTTTGGAGGGAAATAGTAAGGTTTTCGTAGGATCGAAAATCGAATGCTTGAAATGTATTTTTCATAAGATAAGAGCGAAGGACCATTTGTCTACATATAATAAGTGTAGTTAAGTATTCATATCATTTATGACGTGTTTCTGTTAACCTTACCTCAAGGTTACGTCATACCAATGACGTCATAATGCTAAATATCGCGTATAATGCATGTACATGTAATATACATGTGTAATGTATAGTAATCCAAATGGTAAAACCTTAGGGACATGCGCAATAATTCCACTGTTATTACAGTGTACGATAAGAATTTCATCCAGCTGTCGAGAATTTAGCCTACTGATGATCCCCCGGTACAGTGCACGTGTAAGAGTGACCTACTTGTGTGTACCATTACGTGTACTCAAGGACATGCTGGTATATAGGCTCGTGTCGAGACAATGGTTGGCTCCGCAACACAATCGATACGGTAGACCACATTCGTACCATAGATATAACGTTATCAGGCCGGGGGTCTCACATCTTCAAATTCTCCACCTCGCCTGGCCACCGTCACAGCGGTAACACATTAGTATGGTAACGCGATGCTGTCACGAATCAGGCACTTCTTTGTCGTATGTGGACACAGACAAACGTCGTAGTAACCGAAAGTGGCACGACAAGCGGACGGAGCACCAACCATCAACACTATTGTCAAAACTTGTAAATTAGCACGAATATTACAGAGAATGCAACCGGATACAATAATTCCAAAACCACAAATGTGGCTACATTCGAGAAAATCAAAAACACAGTCTTACTCAAGGATCGACCTGATGATATATAATTCTAAATGAAACATGACATCAACTTCTAAATCCTAATCATTGACAATGGAAACGGCCTCAGTGTTATATTAATAAAAACTAATTAGACGATACTAAAACTGAAATGTTTTCAATGATTTTTAGCTGATTTTTTTACAATCAGAAACAAATCATATTTCATAGTATGTAGGTGGCATGAGCGTTCTGATGATAAATTATTCAAAATATTTTACGTCCCTGCTAAAACCGAATAACCCATGTAGGCGAAATAAATACTTCCTTGTTTCAAATCAAATGAAACTCGATATGTTGCCATCAAAATGAAATTCAGAAAAATGTTGAGTGATAGATAAAACAGTAGAAAAAAGAGTAATCAACATGTTGACAACGAAATAAAACCCAATAATTCTGACAATGACTGCAAACCGAACATGGTGACAGTGAAATAGATCCCAATAACATGTTGACAATGAAATCGGACCCAATAATGTTGACAATGAAATTGGACCCAATAATGTTGACAATGACTGCAAACCGAACATGGTGACAGTGAAATAGATCCCAATAACATGTTGACAATGAAATTGGACCCAATAATGTTGACAATGAAATCGGACCCAATGATGTTGACAATGAAATTGGACCCAATAATGTTGACAATGACTGCAAATCGAACATGGTGACAGTGAAATAGATCCTAATAACATGTTGACAATGAAATTGGACCCAATAATGTTGACAATGACTGCAAATCGAACATGGTGACAGTGAAATAGATCCCAATAACATGTTGACAATGAAATCGGACCCATTAAAGTTGACAATGAAATCGGACCCAATAAAGTTGACAATGAAAATGGACACAATAATGTTGACAATGAAATCGGGCCCAATAATGTTGACAATGAAATCGGACCCAATAAAGTTGACAATGAAATTGGACCCAATAATGTTGACAATGAAATGGGACCCAATTATGTTGACAATGAGATCGGACCCAATAAAGTTGACAATGAAATTGGACCCAATTAAGTTGACAATAAAATTGGACACAATAATGTTGACAATGAAATCGGACATAATAATGTTGACAATGAAATCGGACACAATAATGTTGAAAATGAAACCAAACCAAAGAACACGTCGACATCGAAATCGAACCCAATGATTAGTTGATAGTGAAATAAATCGTAATTATATGTTGACAGTTAAATAAATCCCAATAATATGTTGACACTGAAACAAAACTGAATTAATGAAGGCTCTAAAATAAATCCCAATGTTATGTTGACATTGAAATAAAACACAATTATATGTTGACAATGAAACA